TCTCTTTACTCAAACTCTCTCTCTCTCTCTCTCTCTCACACACACACACACACAGAGAGAGAGAGAGAGAGAGAGAGAGAGAGAGAGAGAGAGAGAGAGAGAGAGGGAGGGAGGGAGAGAGAGAGAGACTCACATACACATACACCGCTTCAATAAATGCAATTTTGTTTCATACATATTACACTTGGGAAACTAAAATGAAAAGGATAGCTTTGGGAAACTAAAATGAAAAGAATAGGGTTGGGAAACCAAATGAAAAGGATAACTCTGGGAAACTAAAATGAAAATGATAGCTCTCTGAAACCAAAATGAAAAGGATAGCTCTAGGAAATCAAAACGAAAAGGATAACTCTGGGAAACTAAAATGAAAAGGATGGTTGTGTGATACTAAAATGAAAAGGATAGCTCTGGGAAACTAAAATGAAACAGATAGCTCTCTGAAACCAAAATGAAAAGGATAGCTCTGGGAAATCAAAATGAAAAGGATAGCTCTGGGAAATCAAAATGAAACGGATAGCTCTTTGAAACCAAAATGAAAAGGATAGCTCTGGGAAATCAAAATGAAAAGGATAGCTCTGGGAAGGTTGGAAACAAAAATGAAAAGGATAGCTCTCTGAAACCAAAATGAAAGGGATAGGATTGGGAAACTAAAATGAAAAGGATAGCTCTGGGAAATCAAATTGTAAAAGATAGCCCTAGGAATCCAAAATGAGAAGGGTAGCTCTTTGAAATCAAAAGGAAAAGGATAGATCTGGGAAATCAAAAGGAAAAGGATAGCTCTGTGATACTTGGAAACCAAAATGAAAAGGATTGCTTTAGGAATCCAAAATGAGAAGGGTAGCTCTCTGAAATAAAAATGAAAAGGATAGCTCTGGGAAATCAAAATGTAAAGGATAGTTCTGGGAAACCAAAATGAAAAGGATAGCTCTCCTTAACTTTTTGTATAGACTGTATACTCTACTTTCATTCTAATAGCTCTACCTATGCAGCAAAGGGAGTATGACAGGTTTTACAATTTTGTGTGCACTGAGGTAGTGAGATGTTCAATGCCTCTATTCGTTTATGTTTTGTTGAAATAAACACTTTTTCATTCCCAGGTTATTTGTTGAAAGTAGACATACATGAAAACAAAGGTTTAACGCCAAACATAACTACTATAGTAATATTTGAGAGAGAGAGAGAGAGAGAGAGAGAGAGAGAGA